TTCATCTCCACCAGCTAACTCTCAGTGCTCATTGACCAGGGCTGGGAAAGAATCCTTAGAGGTTGGCCACCTTCACTGCCTTCCCCCAGGGTAAATCTCATATGTCCAGAACAGTGCTGACACTCACATTCCCCAACCTGAAACTTCACAACCAGAGAGTTTTCACCTTTCTACACAGCTTCAGCGGAATTCTTCATCAGAGTGGAAGCAGTGCAAAAATTAGCTGCGCCATAAAGACTGAAGAATTTAAAAATATTTTCAATATGCAGATGCTTTGCCAAAAGCACTGTAAAGAGCCCACCATGAATATGTTACAGAAATAAAAAAATATTTGCTCATTTCTAAATTTCCTGGAGTTTGCTTAATGTCAGCAGTCCCATTTAATAGCAGAAACGTAAAACCTGTGACAGTTATTGAACCCCCGACCCCTGATAGGCAGTTACCAGCTTTGCCAGACTGGTTTTGAAATCATTCAGTCTGTTAGCCTGCATCTTGTTACAGTCAGTGCAACTGATGCAATACTATGAATCTCTCTTTCCCTGTACATTTTTAACTCTCTCGTGCCAGCAATTATTTTACTCTTACAAGAATATAAACCAGGGGTGCTCTGTTCCTTGGGGAACATTGGGGGAACAAGGTTGCAGCTAACTTTTGTTTGAACTAGTGAATATTTAGGAGAACGAGAAGATAGTTTTTATCTAAAACATGTTTTCACAGCACCAAAACAGTGAGGCAGCAAGAAAGGGACTGAAAAACAGCCTGCCATTTCGTTTCCTCCCTGTAATTTGGACTGCTTTTGACCCAGCATGTGTGCGCATGCACTCACTCGCTTGGTCTGCTCTTTTACACCGTGACTTCACTGTAAAATTCAATTCATCTGTTCAAAGCAATGACTGAAACACTGTCTATAAAATTATGGCACTTTTCCACTTGAAAAAAAATTTTAACACTTCTTAATTTAAAAGTTATTTTTAAACTTAGTTGGTCTGAAGCCAATTTTAGTCATAACTGAAGTGGATTCTTCTTTTCCTAGAATTCAGTGCCTTCCTTTTCTAAAATACATTAGCTTGGGGAAAAAAAAAGAAAACCAAAAAGAAGTAAAACCAGTAAATGCACAGTTTACACTTCTGTCTACACAGTTTTACCCTCTGACATATCAGCACAGTTTGCTTTTCAACTTACACTGTGCAACAAACCTAAACAAGTCTTTACTTCTAGCTTAGGAACTTAAACACTGACTTTACAAATCCCAGAGCTGAACCACTTTCAGTTTGAATCTGGCTGGGGCACTTGCAGAGCATCACCAGAGACAGTAACTGGCTGAGTCAAGAGTTTATATCTGGGAGGTTAAGTGAAGACCCTTCAGAAACATGGTGGAATTTAAAAAAGAAAACATCGGAGCCTTATTACATTGCAAAGATACATGTGGCTTGTGGCACTACATCTGCATTTAAACACGTTGGTAGCTAAGCATGAATTTGATGAACTGAGCTGTTGTCATATGTAGGTAGAATGAGTATCCTGACTTCACTCGGTTCCAATTTTCCAGGACTGTCTCAAGAGAAAGGAGGACATCTGGTCTTCTTAATGAAGTAGCTGATCTGGAATCTGGGTTTAGTAAAAGTATGCCTCCCCCCGCCCCCCCCCAAAAAAAAAGGGAAAGAAGAAAAATCCTTCAATCTAAGCAATTAATACGTCACCAAAAAGGATTTTAAGGAATAACATGCAAGCTAACCTGGCAGGGAGAGTATTTTCCTTCTCCTTTCAAAGGGAATTCTGTTTTTCCCAAGAGAAAATTCAAACTAAATTACACTGACTTGATATTCAATGAATGTTAACATGCACAGTATTATCTGCACTGTGACAACTCCACTGTGACACGAATATAGGATTCACATACTTCAGTTCTACATGTTCTGTGAAGGGTATCAGTAAGCACAGTAATGCAAAATAATTAGAACAACTTTTAAAATCAGATTCTTATTTTCCAAGTTGAATTTTCTCAAGTCTGAGCTCAGCATTAAAGTGATTGTTGATCCTTCAAATTAAGCAGAAATTATTTGCTAACTCAGGGCTTAAGGACGACAAAGGAAAGGTTAATTTTTTATGTTGAATTGTTACTTTGGGTTTTTCGGGATTTCTTTATTGTTTTATTGCTTGAGTGCCTAGAGCTTTGGAATCAAAGTTTCTTAAGGACATAGCATCTATCTAATCTTATAACAACGTTAGAAGCATCCTAAAGATGGACTTCATGAGAATTTACGGGTTTTGCTGTTTTTAAACAGCAGATGCTGAAGGACTGTTTTGGGGGGATTTTGTTTTTTAAATGAGGGTGATGAAGACACACAGGGGAGGAAGCAAATTCACAATATTGGATTAACACACTCAGAAGCATTCAGCTTCACTGTCTTCAATACCCGGACTGAAGCTACAATGCTCTGCACAACTCTGCACAACGCTCCACTCTTCCTCTGCGCACGGCTGTGGAGTGGAGTTCAGTTTTAATATTAGTACGATGGGGCTTGCCAACATGTGCTTGCTGAATGAGGTAGGTCTCCATTACCTCATTCTATATGACCCTTTTACATATTTTATCCAACAAAGCTTTTGAAGATATATTTATCTTTAACCATGTGAGAAATCTCACTTACGTTAATGATTGTGCAATAAAAAGTAAAAATAAAAATGATTAGTAGTCCGTTGATGATTATAAACCCTCTTCCCTTCCCCTCCATTTTTCTTAGGAACTCATTACTCCAATGTTTATTTTTACTTTTGTAAATCTAAGAGTGCAAAGCAGGAGGCAAAGGTATAAAAGCAGCCAGAATCTGAATGGGTGGGTGGGTACAGGATCTTTACATACACACATATGACATGATCCACAGTATGAATGCCATGCTGGGCACCACTAGCAGGAGGGTTACAGCTCTGCTAGCTACCCAGTAAATCTGTACCAGGAGAGTCAGGAAGCATTATGCCACTTTGCAGTAAAAAGCTGCATAAGAAGCTTAGAGAAACCATCATCATTCTCAACCTGCTATTTGTCTCTTCCTCTGACCCCTTCTCAAAAACTCTCATCACTTCTCAGGTTTACCCATTTCATTTTCCATGACACTAGGTGCAGAAATCTCAAAATGTCTGTGGGGTTTGAGCCCCTGCGGACAGCTGCAGGTTAATTCTACCTGTCTCATTGGGATAGTGTAACCTCCAGAATCCAGCATGAATGACCCATGTGAAAGAGAAGGGGGGTACACAGACGAGGATACAAGAATCCTTGCAAGGAACTGGGTCCAAGAGAAAGATCAGGATGATTTTCTAGAGATTTCTCTTGGAGTTACCTCCTGGCTGACAGCCCAGGCCATAGGGAGAACGTTTCTGAATCTACAGCAAGAATTCCCCTCTGTGCAGAGTGAAAGGATAGCTAACAGCTCCACCAATTCTCACATCTCACAGATTTCTCCTACGCTTACTTAGGGGTATCCTGCCTTATGCTAGCAACTGTGTCAGATGCTACGGGTTCTGACCTTCCTGAGGTGTCCCATAGCTCAGGTCTCTGGAGAACAGAGCTGGTCCGTGCAATTCCTGACCTCTAGACTGTTTCTGCCAGCCCCAAGAGCTCTTTGGTGTCCCATCTATCAGCACTTCACTTGACAGAGCATCTACAGTCTAGCCTCTCTCTGGAGATCAGATCAGCATCCACTGCAGCAGCAAAACCTTAAATCAGCATATCATAAAGAAAGATTATAAACATTACCTTGACATTTTAGTGTACACAGTTAACATTTACATTTCACACCACCTTCTATGTAAAGTCCCTCTCTCCATGTCATCAGCACACCACTTCTCTTAATTCCTCCCACCCAACACTAAAAGCCCCTTATCTCAGGCAGGCCAACAGAAGATTTTTGGTGCTTCTGAGCTCAGCTACTGTGGAGACAGAAGTGATCAAACACTCATTAAAAATACAAAAATTAAAAGCAGTCAAAATTCCCTCACATGCAAAACATTTAAAATCCACCTGAGTCTTTCCCAAATACCCTAGAAATGCTTCAAGGTCACAATGAGATGCCACAGGCAATATTTCAGGACCTACTTTCAACATTTGCTATGAAGCATCTTTTGACGCTCCAATTACAGCTTCCTAAGGGTTAATATACCAAAACAGGAAGGGGAAAAAAAAAAAAAAAAGGCACAAAAGTGGTATGACTTCTTTCCATGGTATGACAAACACTCTCTGCATCATATTCCAAAGCGCGAGATGTGCAATTTCCATTCTTAAGCTCAGTAAAAACAGCATTAAAAAGCACTAACCCTGGGAACTGCTTGATTATTAGTTTATCAGATCAACATCAGCAAAACTTTCTTTTTATGTGCTGCTTACTTTCAAAAAAACCCCTACCACGCATATTTCAGTTTTCCCTCTCCACACCCCACACCCTTCTGCTGCTGTCCAGCTGGAACACATCAAGGGTCTAGAAGCCAAGTCAAATGTTAACCCCACCCTCCTCCATCCATTTTAAGGCACCTTCAAAGCCAGTACACTGATCTAGTTCAGCTTAGCCAACAACGCCAGCAAATCTGTTATTTAAGACTTTAGTGCTGGGTTTTTATAACTGCCCATTAATGCAAGCTTTGATGTATGGTCAAAAAATCCAGCTGTAATGAGTTTCATCAGAATGTAGTAACCTTTCCTCAGAAGGTCTTTATTACTATACCTTCATAATCTTTGGTCCCAATACTGTTTTATAGTATCATTCTTACTGAACCACCTTAAAAAAACCAACACTCAGCAACACTTAACACATCTCCTTCCCCAAAATTAAAGCAAAGAGCCATTAATAGTATTCTAGAAGACACTTTTGCACCCACATTTTTAATTAGAGTTTGCTGGTAAGCATATGCAGGCAATAGTTGTGTAAACCAAAAAGAGAAACAAATTTTCCTGACAAAACCCTTGAGACAAGATATGAAAGGATTTTGTAAAAGGACAAACAACTTACTCTGTTGTTCCCCTTTGCAGGATGCAGCAAGGAGTAAAGAGGGGAAAAAAAGAAATATTAGATACATTTATTTTACATGCATTAAGTCTAACTCGTACAGTTCTGGAAAGAGCTCAAACCAAATTAGGAACTGACTCAAAGAACATTCACTGAATCCTTTAGCTAGACAGCTTCCAGGGGAGCATAGGACATTTGCAAAGGACAGAAAATGTTTGGTGAAGTTGTAAATTCACACAGTTTCAAAATTTCCTCTCTACACAAACATTCTGATTCCACTTTTGCTTCCTTCAGTGTAAATCGGGAGCAGCTCCTGGGAAGTTGGTGGACACTAACACAAGGGAGAAGAAAATGAGGCCTGAAATGATCTAGGGATGGGAGGGAAGCCAGAGGGATTTTTGTGCATTGGTAATACTGAATTTCCAGTATGTGAAGCAACCCACTAAACATGTCTTCTTACCCTTGCATGACAGCCACTCCCTACAACATGCTAATGAATGGAAAGTTTCACGATCCAGTGATTTTTAAAAAGCAAATATTGAACTTTTAGATTAGTAATATAAATAAGGAGGAGATGGCATTAGGGGAAAGGGGAAAAGGAATGGATGGGGCTAGCAAGGTAAAGCGGGCAGAGCAAGTTACGACAAACATCTGTGCTGTAATTTTTTTTTAATTGTGAGTTTTGCCATGAGCTGGCATTAAAAGTGTATATTATACAGTAGGAAGTCAGCCAAAATAAACACCAGCCTACAGTTGAGAAATACGGTCTGGAAAGGTTAGTCACAAAGTTGTAGTCATTTTTTAAAAAAGAAGGGGTTTGGATGCATCAGTCCAAAAACCCAGCAGTAAAGTCAGCTGGTAAATGGATATCCCGTTTCAAAGTGAACTGGCCACAGTGTGATTTATATCAAGCAAGCTGACTTGCATATGGGTTGAAAAAATAAAAACACTGATTCACTGCTATCCGGGTGGCTGTCAAAGCCCACGTCCTGACAAAAGCAAATCTCTTGGGAGAAGGAGGTGACTTGGCAAACTGAAAAAGAATTTGGGGGCTTATAGAGAAACACTGAGGAGTGATCAAAGATAGTTAACAAGAGAGTGAATATATGAATGTGATTGTGCATACCCATGTGCAGAGGGCCAGGGAAGGCAGACAAAATGAAGCAACAAAATGGAGGAATGGGGTGATACCTGGTGTTTAATTTTTAATATATTAATGAGATTTGTTTAGGCAAAAAGAAAATTAAAAGTCAACCTTGTACGTGTTTACAGGACTAAATTAATAACAGAGACTTCATGTTAGTGGCAGTAAGTAGTGAGCTGTATTACCACTATAATCACACAATTTTAAGCAGCACTACTAAAAAAACAACTGAAAAAATAATATTCCTAGTTAAGAGATTTGCCCCTGGTGAAAATTCAGAAAAAAATCTCTTTAATTCAGCGACAAATTCCTACTTTTCCTGCCACTGCAAAAGGAACCCTGCTAGGGGCAACTGCGTTGGGTTTTACATCAGCGTCCTTGTATGCAAGCAGCAGAACTGTTAATGAAAGCACACAGCTTAGCTTTCAAATTCCAGGCTGCACACACTGCTCTGGCAGTTACAGAAAGCAGGCCAGCTTCACCACTGCAATACTCCAGGTTTACAGCACTATTAATCTATTTTTCATTTCTAAGAAGCAATTTTTTCTACTTCTGGTGCCAAAGCCTCGGATGCTCAAAGTTACCAGCTGTGACTTGCACATGAAAAAGAGCGAGAAGGTCAGTCTGGGAAGGGGCTTGGGTACCTCTCTGCCTTTTTAACTCTGGAATTGCAAAGCTGTGGGGAAGCACTGAAGTGAACACAAGTTGCTGCCATTTCCTGGCAGTCTCTCTTACATAAAAACATGGTGTCTAAATCTTTGAAGGAGAATAAAAGACTTGGAAAGTGTCTCTAAAGCTATTTTATATTGTCAGAGGAATGTGTGAAACTGAGGAGTATGCCCAGGATTTTAATGAAATGATGATGATTTTTATTTAAGTTCCACTGCAGCTTCTAAGGTACCCTGCGCCTTGGAGCTTTTGCTTTACAAAATTCAAAACTTTAACAGCAGACTTGCAATCCACATTTGGACCTCTAGTCCTGTAGGAACAAAGTGGTTTGCAAGACTAGAGTAGCATCAAGCATCTTTCCTGAACAGCTTGATAGACTACTGAGTGAATTTCAAACTACAGGTGTTTGGAACCACAATATTCACTCCTTTTATTTCCAGCTCAAAGGAGAACTGAATTTTGACTCCCTTCTGTCTTTCAAGGAAGTCTCTCATCTTGTATCTAAGACCCTTTTGACAAACCAACTTTAAACAAAACCAATAACTTTTTATAAACATATTTGAAATACAAAATATTTTTAGGCAGAATAGGGAGACAGGAAGACAGAAGTTTAGAAATCCAACTAGTCTATCTTGTTTAAAGACAAAGTAACAGAGATATATGATAAACATGTCACAGAATGCAACATTAAACCAGAGGCAGCAAGAGGCTTTTTTGACATCATTATTAAAACCTGAGTAAGAAAAAAAAATAAAACCAACACAGTACTATGTTCTTAGTAATTAATTAGGTAACCTCTTGTAACTGATCCTTGTAAAATGACTTCTGATAGTCTTAGGTAGGAACTGATCTACAGGCAACCTACTGAAGAGTCACCAAAAAAATTTTTTTTTTTTTTTAAAAAAAAGGTAAAGTCTCAGATACCTGGTAGGTCTCCTGATAAATTTGGTTTTGAACTATTCTTTTAAAAGTCATTATCATCATCACTGTTTATTTCTATAATAATTTAAGAATACAGCAGTTCAAGGATTCTCTGATTTGTCTTTTGATGATAGCCTTGAAACTTGGTATGAGGAGTGGAAGCTGAGGGTTGTTTGCATCAGTAGCAGCTGGAGGAAATGCAGACAGAATTATACTGGAAGCTGTGGAGGTATGACAAGTATAAGGAAAATATGAGAAAGATGAAGAGATAAAAGACAACACAAGACCCTGGATTTAATGGACCTGGCCTTCCCATGGAAAATAAGCAGGAAGAAGAACAAATTCCATCAAAATCAAAGCATCATTTTTCAGAACAGATCTTCTGCTGAAGGAATCTATCAGGCTTACTGATGAAAGGTGAACCATGCATTAGAGAAACTTTCGAAAACTGAAATGACAGATATTTTTGCTAGTTAGCCTTCTCACTGGATACATCTCCTCAACCTTCATTTGAGATATTAAATATCAAAATAAGTAAAAAAAATGTGAAATGGTAGTTGGGCATATCCCACTTCCCAACTTTCTGTTTTTTCTGTTAAATTAATAGAGGCTTTTTTACTGTATCATGTTCAATTTGCTCCACATGACGATTAGCTGAATAAAACTGCCTTTGGAAAGGTTTAGCATGTGTTTCATACACAAAAAACATGCAATGAATCAGTAAAATAAATATACATGATTGCCTGGAATGCTTCTGTCAGTTCTGTAATACAGAGCTTGAGGGAATTAACTCTTCAAAGCACATCTTTACCTTAAGACGACATTAATAGAAACAACGAAGCTCAGGAAACCCCAAATTGCTCAACGTTTTTCACTACACAGATCCAATGAAAAACATTTTGGAAGGATTGGTTTGTGGGTTTTTTTTTTTTTAATATGGAAGTTTGACACATAAATTGATCTTAAAATATTTAATTATGAATATTTCAAAATTACCACAGAAGAGTACAATGAAAAGGCCACCCTTTCTTAAGTTATCTGCAAACATTGTGCTTTCCCAGATAAGACTGATTTTTCTGACTCAAACAGAGCAGCTACTGGAAAACTAGTGAGCTGTTCAACTTACTGAGGATTTATCAGGATAGACACCAGCTCGTAGCAGAGATGCCTTCCAGCTATCCACCTCCTCTTGGGAGTCACAGGCTAGCTCAAGGAAACGATAATCCTTGTAAACATTCCTAGAAGAAAGAGCACCACATTGTAAAACTAGCATTTTACTACTCTGTCATGCACACAGCATTTTAAATTAAAAATCCTTTTGCATCAAAAATTACTTGGTAATTGTTTTGGACAACAGAGTTGATGGGACAGGTGCTTGTTTAGTAATTACATGGAGTACTTAAAATATCTTAAGAATGCTACAGCACAGTTCTGGAAATAATAATCATCTGAAAGTACCATGAAACTACTTAAAATCCATTTTCCAGCTTTTGCCAAAATGGAACAGTTTTAGGAAAAAAAGTCTGTTGTGATGCAGAGGACAAACACACACAACACACCAGAAAAACTGCATGTCCTGTGACTGATTGCTGCTGTAACCAATAAATATTCAAATAATTAACAATACCACTTTTTCCCATCTTAAGTCCTTTCAGTGCATTTTATACCCTTTTTAGGTTTTAGACATCATGAATAACAGGGGAAAGAAAACAATTATAATTAGATATTTAAACAAACAAAACAAACCTCTGATGTCTGCCATGATAGTAAGAAAATTGGGGCATGTTTAAATAACACTTCTTGCAGGTAATTTACATAAATTGATAAATATAGTGAATCACTTAATGGAAGACAAGAGAAAGACGTATGTAGGATGGTGATACTTGTAAATTCTCCAATAAACAGAACAGATTTTTCCCCTTGCGGTTTATTCATTAGTTTCCAAATTCAAATTCTATATACAGACCAGATTGCTGTAAATTTGTCAGCCAACAGTCTTTTTAGGAAAGGCCACAAGCTTAGCTAACAAAGGTTAGGAAAACACATTTTGCTAGATATTAAGAGTTGCACAAGAATCAATCTTCCATCACAACCAGACTGTTTTCTTTCCTTAGCGAGCTATGTAGAAGGGGGAGTGGGGTTGATAGAGATTACTTCACTTTCACAGACAGCAATGATAAGGGGCCTTTTAGTTTCATTATGCAACTACAGAGGTCATTCCTGCCACATACTTTGAGGGGAAAAAAATGAATACACTACAGAACCAGGAAATAAAGCTATTATCACTGCTTAGACAAATTTCTTCAGTGTCCAGGCAGGATTTTAGCATCTCACTGCTGGAATACAAGCCACTTGATTTAATTCCCGCTCACAGAAGTGCTTCTCCCTTATGAACAATGTCACCAGACAGCTCCTAGCCTTGCTTTTTAGGGGTCGTCTTAGGAAACAAATAGAAAACAGGTAGAAAAATTGTAATTGAACAGCAAGTATTAATGCCTGAGTGTGAAGCAACCGTGACACCCAATCATTAAATTATCAGCCATGAAACCACAGTACAGCAACCAGAGTGTACCCACCTCTGGATAGAGGTAAATCAGATATCTTTAGCAGACTTACAGATTGCATTCAAAACTGCAAAGAATAAAGGACATACTCAGATTTCCTGATGTGGGTGACATAATTCTCACCAATTTCAATGGTTACATCTGAGCAGCCAGGCAGGTGTGCTCAGCGCTAGGCTTGCACTGCTCCTTCCTTGCAAGTGTCTGGATTGGAGATGCCACCGGTGTGTGCTTCAGTGCCCCTCAGGGCAGCACACTTGTGCTTCCTTCCCAGAGAAATCTGCCCACAAAGCGACAGACACACACTAAAGGGTCAGGTCCCGCAGTTTAGGCAAAGCCACTGACAGTGTGAATGACTGAAAGCTCCAAGGATTTTTTTACTGATTAGAAATTAAAAATTAAACCTTTTTCTTCCCCGACTCCAAAGGTGCTCATTCTGCCTTAAAGCAAATAATAGCCTGGATGACCTCCTCAGATGTCGTTATCTTAAACTGATGACAAAACACTTGAATTTTATTCAAATGCAGTATTATGGAACTCTGAGTCAACATTTACTAAACAAAACAAATAACTCAAAATAAAAAAAGAAACAAAATGGAATTGCCAGAGAAAAAAAATGCTTTAATTTATTGTTAGGAGAGACTGAGATAAGTTTTTTGGCTAAGTTAACTAAGTAGCTATTACCTAGAAGAAATAGGAAGCTGAAATGGTAAAAGGGTATTCTCAGAAAAGGTGATTAAAAATAACAATAGAGCAAATAAAGTCTGTAAAGCATAGAGATAGGGAAGTTCCAAAAATACTTTTATCTACAAGAGCAAAACAACATGACACCAACTTGTGAAAATATTTTTTCAGGACTGTCATGTTACATATTAAACTTTTTGGCATTTTATGACTTGCTACATCAAGCATAACTGTAGGAGGGATTTTAGCCAACTGCTTTGAACACATGGGTGATGGCAGACTCCCGTCTCCATGTCAAGACTTTTCATAGGTCTAGGAACACCTTTTGGGCAAACAGCTGATGTCTCCAGCTTTCCAAGGCCCCTCTCCCCATAGTATCTGAGAGTTCCACCACTTCAGCATAGCTACTCTTACCCACCACCACCACCGGCACAAGTGGGGAACTGAAGGACATACACAGAACCAGAACTCATAGGAAGCTTACAGTAAAGCAGGCAAATGGACGTTTGCCTCCCAAATCAGATTCCTTGCTACTAGACTTCCTTTGCCTTTCTTTCTTCCAGAAAGGCTGACAGGCACAGGAACTTCTCAAAAGCAACAAAGCCAAAATAACTTCTGCAAAGAGCGTGTCCTTTTTCTGTTACTAGTGGAATCTTACAAAAACACATTAACATGTTTTACTCATTAGGAATCCACTGGCGTCTCATGGAAAGCTGTAAAAACGTTCTTGAATGCAATTCAGATTTTCTGTTTTGTTCTCTTTCACTTTTTAAAATTGCTAAAGATATCAGCACAGAAACAGTTACTACTCAATCCTCACCTACTTACTCCAGATAGAATACAGTGAGATCATGTTCTCATTGTCATCTCTATAGCAGATAAATGGGACGTTATACATCAAAAAGAATGATATGATACAGGATACCAAGAAGCAAAAACCCTAAGCAATACAACAATAAAAATCTTGTTGATATTCAGGCATCTTTAAATCTAAGGGACTGTAAAAATAAAGCATTCCCCATGAATGGGGAAGCTGTGTGTAAAGCTATATACATATACCACATCTACCTATGCTGCTTCCTCCTACAGAGTCTCATCATTGTACTTTAATATTCCGCATTGTACATGAAAATGTATCTATAGCAGCATTTCTTGAAATTAATACTACTTTTTTTTCCACAGTGAAAAATACAAAAGGTTACCATTTGTTATCTGCAGATTTTATTACACTCTAGATATATAAACCTTAAGAACTGCATTCCAGAAAAAAAACCCACAACATAATTGCTTATGGAGATGAACAGACAATTGGACTAAAAGCATCATTTCTGATTCTGGAATAGTTCCACACTCAGGACATACCTCCTCTAGGCCAAACCCAATACTTGAAGTTTCAGCAGACACAAAGCTGTAACTTTCCTTACCCAACAACTTCTTCACTTTATTTTGGATTCCTTTCCCCCATATACAGTATTTCAGTGCTCAAAGTGAACTTTCTAATGCAGAAATGACCTTCACATTGTCCATAGGTTTTTCTTTAAGCCCTTCCATCACTGAAGAATCCTAACACGAAAACGTAGGAATGCAGTATTCGCAAGCGTACAAGAGGAAATGGAGATATGCCAAGTAAGTTTGAAGACTGAGCCCAAGTATGAGTTACTGAGATTCCAGTCCCACTAGTCCTGAAGCCTGGGCTGTCAACATTGTGTAGAAGTTTGCCTATAAAACAGTAGAACTATACAATCCAGGACCACAGGTGAAAAACACACAACTGAAAATCACAAAGAACAAACTTTCTAGTTGTTGGCTACAGTGGAGGCAATACCAGCTGGCTTTTCTCTACAGCAGTTGCCACATCAAAACTGCTTGTTATCTGAGCAAACTCAACCACCAAACCTCAAGATGTATACTAAAATAAGGTTAAATATTTATCTCCAACAAACCTGGAAAGATTTTTAAAGACAACCACTGTAGACACATTACAAACCCAATTAATATGCATGCATATATATTAATGCTTATCCACATATTAACCATATGTATTGACAGCTTTTAGATGGAGTTGGATCTGGAACATTTCAGTAGACAAAGATGTGCTGTGTACACATGGAAATTTTTTTATATATATAGAAAATACAAACCAAGATTAAATGAAGATGCATTTATTCTTGCCAATATGCGAGGAGACAGAAAAGCAATTACAGAGCAAGAACATTAGTGAAATTTTTAGAACTGTGCCTATAAGCCACTTTAATCCTCCAGAACACAAAACCACATTTAACTTCAGCAGTCACAATGAAACAAGCAAAGCTACTCACAGACTGAAAGACAAAGGAACATTTTCTTTTATAGGGATTTCAAACAACTGTGCTTATCATCTCAAATGATTTTTTTGGTAAACATTTCATCCTTTTATTAGGATGCAAGCAGAACTAAAATGAACATTAGAAATCTAGAACGAAATGCAAATTGGCCCAATTTTATTGCACAAAAAAATACAAAAGATTCAATTCTTAGATATTTCTTGATTGAAATTGAAATCATACAGAATATGTTTTTCATAAGTAGTTAACTAAAATGAAAAAGGGAGAAAACAACAGAATCCAGATACTCCAAATACACATGCACAAGTGGGAAATATATAATAATACTGGATGAAACTCTGCTCTACATTCTCTAATTATTCAACCTGGAACTGCACTGTATACACTCTGCTTATTCAACCTTAGTCATAGTATACCATTTTATACACCTTTAATTCCACAATGGGTACTCTGAATATATGCACTATTCTTCATATAAGAAAGCTCAACTAGAAGCTTGGCAAATCATATATTTTGAAGAATCAAAAATGACCATCTGCTCTGAGTTAACAGCAATGACTAACATTTTCTATCAAGGCTTGCCATTTCAGATCAGTCCAGTGTGAAAGCTAATTAAAATTAATTACACATGTCTTTGGAGATTTTGTCTTAATATCCAGAAAAGCCAAA